GAAAGTGACTGAGTCATTATGATTTATACAGTGCAATCATTTCAATTTTCTTAATAATCTCTTGCATCTAAGTAGTAATTGTAATTTCTTAGACTGTTATCATTTACACTGTGTTTTTACACTTCCAACCACCAATTTAATTTATTTTTTTTTATTTTAAAGAGAGTAGTACATGAGAAAATAACAAACAAGAAAATGGAACAGTTGCAGCATACCAGTATCAGGAACATAAACAAATCAAAGTGAGAACATTCAAAGTGTTACAGAGTCTCAAGACAAATTAATATAAATCAACAGTGGTTGTTACATTGCATATCTCTATCCTCAACTACGTTGCTCAGATTATCAGATGTAAGAATGAAAGATTGCTCAATCCATTAAAGAAAATAAGAAAATAATTCTTCAATGAAATATTACAGATAATAAAGTTTCACTACACAAGATGGTAGGAGTTCACCACTGTAATTCCATTGCATATTGTTACCTTCAAATCAGTTGCTCAGGCCACCAGACAGAAGCATGCAAAGTCAGTCAGAACATAAAAAATTGTGAGCATTAACTGTTCATTTCAATACACCATCATACAACAGCAATACAGTCATCGCAGCTATTCATATCTATATTTATGTTTTGCCTTCCTTCTTTCTTTTTTCTTCTTTCCCTCATCCCAGTTGCTCCTTCCTTTGAACAATTTATTTTCCTTTCCTATCATCTATTATATGGTTTGAGTTTTACCTAGTCTTTCAGGTTCCTGCACCAAGGAGACAATATGATGTTTACACATGGGGGTCTGATTTATGTCACTTATGAGTATGGTCTCTAGTTGCATCCATTTACCTACAAAAGCCTCTAGTTTATCTTTTTTAATAGCTGAGTAATACTCCATTGTATAAAATACCATAACTTTTTTATCCATTCCTCTGTGGACAGGAATCTAGATTGTTTTCAAAATTTAGCTATAACAAATTGTGCTTCTACAAACATAGGTGCACATATATTGCTGTGGTATGATGTCTTTAATTCTTCTGGGAAAATACCCAGAAGGGGAATAGCTGGGTTAAAGGGAACTTCTAATCCTAGTTTTCTGAAGAATCTCCAAATTGATTTCCACAGTGGTTTCACAAATCTACACTCCCACCAGCAGTGGAGTAGGGTTCCTTTCTCCCAGCCTCTCCAGCATTTGTGATTGGTTGATTTCTTGATCATAGCCATTCTTTCTGGGATGAGATAGAATCTCAGTGTTGAGTGTCGTTTTAATTTTCATTTCTCAAATGACTAATGAAGTTCAGCATTTTTTCATGTATTTATTTGCCTTTAGTAACTCTTCATTAGAGAAGTATGTATTCATCTCAGATGCCCATTTTTGGATTGGGTCTTTGAATTTGGGAGGCCAGATTTTTTTAAATTCTTTATATGTCTTAGATACAAGTCCTTTGTCTGGGGGGCAATTGGCTAAAATTTTCCCAATTCTTGGGTTTTCTTTTTACTTTATTGGTGATTTCTTTAGATGTGCCAAAAATTTCAATAAGATGAGACCCCAGTTGTTGATTCTTTAAAGTATTCCCCATGCAGTTTGGTTTTTTTCATGAACTCTCTGCCAGCCCCAATGCCATCAAGATTTTTGCCTACTTTCTCTTCCAATAAATTTAGTGTTTCTGTTTTAATATTTAGATCTTTGATCTGTTTTGACTTTAATTTAGTGCATGGTGAAAGACATGGTTCTAGTTTTAGTCTTTGGCATGTGGAAAGCCAGTTTTTCCAGCACCATTTATTAAAGAGACTATCTTCCTTCTATTGAACATGCTTGGCCCCTTTGTCCAAGATAAAGTGACTGAATGTGTTTGTAGTTGTACCTGTATCTTGTAATCCAACCACCAATTTTAAAAGGTAATAATTTGGCCACATTTGGAGAGCTGGGTAATCTCTAGTTGCTGAGACAGAAACAGGTGTGCCAAATTTGTGCATTTCCATAGCTAATGCTAGCCTTGGGCCAAAATTCACAATCTTGAAGCAATAACAGGGGAGTAAACTAATACTATTTTTGGCCTCCTTCCTAGACTGCACACTTTAATGGACAGTATGACCAAATTTTATTGTAATTTCTCAAAAATGTGTCATCCATGTGAATCTCCTGCATAAAAAATTTAAAACTCAGAGGAACCAATCAGTGTACTAGGGGTCTCCACTGTAGCAGGAAAACTCATATTGAAATTGGCATCTTCTGGATTCCAGGTTGCATGGGTGGCGGTCACTGTCACAATGCCCCCATCCCTGACTGTAATACAGTCTAACAAGTACTGAACATTCATCTTGGGGCAGGCATTGCTCTCTGAGTGTTAGCCTTAATTGTGCAGGTGTTTACTGTTGAGCTTTTTCTTCTTGTCTGTTTTCTGCAAAAATTACTTATTCTTCTTAACATAACAGGGAAGAATTAGTCAAAGACTTCCCTAGTATAATTTTGATTATTATTTCTTTATAGTGATACTCTCTTTGACCATGCAGCTTTAAGTTAAGATTTAGGCAGCCAAACTACTTATATTATGAGAAATTTTATCTAACAGGAGAAAGAACAACATTTATAGAACAGATTTTTAAAAAGCCTTTTGACATTAAACACTTCTGTTTTCAAAGATCCAAGCAAGTGATACATAAAGATTTGCTGTTGATGAAGCTGCAGCTCTGAATGTCAGTCAATTAGAATGCTTCCCAATTTTTCTTTTGCTTCAGCAATCCTACTTGTTTTATGTGTTCATTTGAAGATAGGTTTCTTTACCAGTTCAATAGAATTTTGCACACAATTCTTCATCCAATTCTAAAAGCAAACATAAGAGACTTCCATCCATTCAGCATGTCTAAATTTTGATTGCTGTGAAATTATTTAATATACACATTTACATTTGAAACAATGTTAAATATTGACAGATCAACTGTCAGAATTGAGCTGTTAAATAACAGGATAAATGCAATAAATGTGACATGGAGGGAAAGAAATTACAAAGGTTAATTTTACGAAGATTAAATACTAGTCAAATTTGTCAGGGAACTTAAAATATATTTTAACATGAGAAACTCTAAATGAGAAAAAAATGTATTTTCTTTCTACTGTATTTATACAAACAATTTCAGAAAGTTCACCATCTGATAATCACTCCCACAAAGGACACAAAGCAGACCAGTCACAACAATGAAAGTCAGAGAAAACAGAGAATTCTTCAGTTTAATGCTTCCAAACAGCTGCTGAGTAACTGAGCTGAAATACAAAGAGCTGAGACTGTGGAGAAGGATTCCTGCAGACATTGCCTGACCTTCTGAAGTGCGTGTGCTCCTGGGCATATCTGTTGATTTTAGGCTTGGACAGGAGGCTGAGAATCAAGGATTTATCTGACCAGGAGGCAGCGGATAAGGAGACCTTTCTTTCAGAATTAGAGAATTGATTGGCTCTTCAGGTGCCCACTTATGAAATGTACTGAATTCTTCTTATGCTTCATGAAGTAAAAGATTCTAAAGTTAAGTTGAGAGTTTCTCAAGAGCAGAGCAGAGTTTTTGGCTACCCTTAGACAAGGTATACATTGATAAATTTACATAGCAAGGCCAGTGTGAAAGATACTGAGAGGAGATCAATCACATTTCAAGTATCAGCAAGCAAAAAACCATAAAATTTGGAAAACAACTTAATGTAGTCTCATAAAACACCAAAGAGCTAGTAACTCATAAAAATTTACTGATTTCTATGTAGAAACATTCAAAAATTCAATGACAACATATAATAAGATTTTAAAATAGCAGCATTACATAAATATCATCTTTCTTCAAAATTTAATATAATCCAAATCAAAAATCTATTTTTGAAATTGGACAGCACCCCACAATATTTCCAGTAACTGAAAAGACCATGATTAATCAAAACAAGCTTGAAGAAAACTAATTTAACTACAAATTAATTTGGTGGAGGATTTGACTTTACCAGAAAATAAAAATTATAAAAATTAAGGTGGCCTGTTATAAACATAAGAACAACAAAGTTCAGAAAATAACTCAACTGTATTATTTTTTAACGTGTCAGTGTACCATATCTTTAATACATGACATTTGATAAGTTTAAGGTCAATATGGAAAGAAACAAGGACCTTAAAGTCTACATGATGCCTATATGAGGTGGAAAATTGTTCCTCAAAGACATCAGCATTCTAAAGCTGGAGGCTGTATGTTACTCTATAGACCAAAGGAGTCATAAGTTTGTAGTTGAAACTGCACTTGATTAAAATAGAGAGGATGTACAATGACATTTGCATGTGTCCAGTGTCATCACAGAGTTCCCTAGGCAGAAACAGGAGAAAGAAGAGTCATGTAAAGGTAAAGCAATACAAGAGTTCTGTTTGCTTTTGGTTAGCTCTACAGATGGGAAGTTGTCAAAAGACAATGAAAGAAAATGAAATCTAGTTGCTGGAGAGGGCAGGGAAATAGATACTCCCTTGGAGACTCTACAAAGTAACCTACCCTGCTGGACCCCTTGTTTTTATTTCAGTGAGACCTGCCTAAGGCATCTGACTTAAAGAAGTATAAAATGACAAATGTGTGTGCTTTTAAGAAACTAAGATTATGGCGATTTGTTACAACAGTCAAAGAAATGTAATACAATGTTATGGAGAACAATGTTATGGAAATCAGTATAGAGGAATTGTAAGTACAAACATAAATATCTAAACCATATTTTTAAATACAAGCCAGAATATCTTCAAACTAAATGTAAATACAAATTTCTGAAACAGCTACCAAGGCACCAACAGAAGGAGAAATATGTAAACCAGACCAGATAAACTTTAAATTTATTTTTAAATGGCATTAAAGAATGAAGGGAAATGATGGGGAGATATATATATATATTTATATTCTTGGTTTTTTCTGTGTCTTTTTCAGGCAGAGTCTTGCTATGCACTTGAGGTTGACCTTGACCTCACTTTTTAGACCAGGCTGGTCTCAAACTTGCAACAGTCCTCCTGCCTCAGCTTCCCGAGTGCTGGGATTACAGTAGGTGTGCACCAGCATGCCCAGATATGAAGGTATACTGTCAAAGGACATGAGATAAGATTTGCTCTATGTTAATCAAAGCAATACAGTTAACTCTATAGAAAAATGGATAAAATCTCGAAAAGCCATCTCACAAATGATGCTCTACAATTTGGCAATACCCTGAAGTCATCAAAGAAGTGCAAATTAAAACCACTGCAGCCTTATTAGAATGGTTAAAATGACAAGGGAAATGTAGGTAAACAGATAGACCAACTTTTATAAAAATACAGAGCAATAAGAGCAATTTTACTCTCATACACAGTTGATGGGTGAGGCAAGTTGAGACAAGTATTTTGCAAAACAATTTAGCAACATCTACTAAGACTGATCATATGGGTATTTTACATTTGCAAACCTGTTTTTAAGTATGGGTGGGATATTTTTGCATGTATGTTATCCATAATATGAGCAAATGAATTCCTGGAGCAATACTATTCATGGTACACAAAAACTGGAAAAAAAATGTATACTTCAACAAATGAAACGGATAAACATACAGCATACCTAACATTGAAAATTATTAATTAATGCCTGTAGTTATTCAATAAGAAGAAGCACAATTAGCAATATAGATATGCTAAGTATTATCTAATCAAATGATTCATAAATGAATAGCTTGGTTTATTTTAAGTTATGTAAAGTTTAAAAAAGGCATTACTGAGTTTTCATTTTAGAAGATGATAGCAGTAGTCATCTTCACTGTAGGAGGAGTGAGGAGAAATTAAAGAAAAATTGCAAGTGGTTCTTTTCTCAAAAACTGGACAAGGGGATTTTGAGTCCAGAGAGCAGTTTAACAACCACTTTCTCTCAGTGGAACGTGCTAACATCAGTCTTAGCAGAACCTTTTCATTCCATTAAATATTTTCAGGCAATAACATCAGGTTTTATCTATGCAGCCTGATTACTTACTTCCATAACTGAGCCACATTCAGTATTGAAGAAAACAAAGCGAAGTCAAAGAACTAATTCAAAAGTTAGGTGTTGCACTTCAAAACTTCCTCGATTCCAAGCATGAAAACCTGAGTGATACTGCCCACCTTCTCGGAAAAAGAAATGCAATGGAGAAGAAAGGGGTGAGAAATAGATTTGAAAGCAAGCTTAGAGGTCCCATCACGTTCTCCGCAGGTAAAAAGACTGGCTTTACTTTGTAAGTGGAATCAGTTTTAGTTAGTTCTGACCCATAATTTAAATTTCCTTTTGGAAGAAAGAAAGAAAAACAAACAATAAAAATGTGGAGTAACTTACCGGTTTGACTCTTATGAAAGTGAACACAAACTTTCAAGTAGCCAGAGATAGTAGGTGAACTTTTGCCTAAAGAAAGCTACACATGGAATTTTCTGTGCTATAGTTTTGGTAAAGTTGTCTCCCAAAGCTTCCTGCACTCTTAGGTGGGACATTGGAAAGGGGCAGGGAATGGATCATGGGGAGAGATTCATCAATGTCTTGGTCCACTGGTGAGCTCATAGCTAAATGTGATGTTCCGAGGTGAAGCCTAGTAGGGTGCAGTGGGTCACTGGATTGGGGCGTAGACTATAAGAATGTATCTCCTCCCTCCTTTTCCTTCTCTCTCACTCCTTCTTCCTGCCACCATGACATGAGCTTCATCTCCTCTATCATGTGCCTCTGCCACACCACCTGGCTTGGGAACCAGCCAAGGAGGGACTGAAAACTCTACAGACCATGAACCTAAATGACCATGTCCTCCTTTAACTTGAGGGTGTTGGGTATTTTGTCTCATCAGTGTGAAAAGTAACTAAGACAATCTGAATAATGTTAATATTCTGTTTCTTGATCTATGTGATACTAATTGGCCATACAGGCATGCACTTTGTAATTCAATAATGAATTCAATTAAATATATAAAAATTATTTCTGATTCATGCCCAGTATTCTTACCTACCAAAAATGGAATAATATCAGCTTGTGAAGAATAGCTGAAAAATAACTGTATGGAATCCAAAATTAAAATTCTGCTTCAAGATTAGGGACCAAAAAGAGAAAGTCCAGTATCACTCATTCAATTCCATAGTGAACTGAAATGAAACCAGAGCGGTATTATATGAAAATAATAGAAACATTAACGGATCAAAAAGAAAGCAAAACTCTCAGTATCTGAAGAAGTTATAATGATAGCCAGCATGGGGTAAAAAAATCAATAGAAAGCTATTATAATTAATCTTATGTTCTGAAACTTGGTAGATGTAAAGTCAACATGAGATCAATTATGACCTAATATTAACTAAAGAAAAAAACTTATAAAAGCAAATGGTTTGTTTGCTTTTAAAGAAATTGTAAAATGTATTTTATTAATAACAATAAAAAATACAAGATTTCTGTCAATCAATGAAATATATGTTTGAACTTCTCAGAGAAAGTTCAGTTGTAAACCACACAGTAAACATAATGATTAACTTTAAAAATATTTGTGAAGAAATAGATAATTTCAGAAATTTTTTATGTCGGTTTTCCTCTAGTAATTACTTAAGTTTGAGGTAATTTCAGTTATAATCATAAGAAAGTTTTCAAAAATTCATATTTGAAAAAGAGAAAGCAAACATTATATAAAACTGTGACATATTGATATTTAAAATAATTTTGAATAAAGTCAAGCTTAGTGCCTTATATTTCCTTTAATCGGGTATTTTCCAAAGCTTTAAATCTGAAAATAATACTTATCTGTGAAATGGAGAAACCCCTACAGAATTCCTGAGTATAAAATATAAAATAGGTTGCATTTTATATTCCAGGAAACTGTTTTATGTCAAATGAAAATGTATTCATGCAAACTTATTTTCAAATGTTTTGAGGAAAATGAGACATTTTAAGTACTTTGCTGCAGTTTTATTTATCATCCACAATTCCAGATGGTTATCAACCATTCTTCATTGGATAAAATGTATCAATATATTTAAACTAAGAACCTATTTGAGAATCAAAGCACACTACAAAGGCAAACGCACATAATATTACACTTATGGAATCATTTAACAAGGTAAAATCATCATATCTGATATGTAGAGATCCATGATTCCATGGAGCAGGGATTGGGGGACGTGGGAAAGAAATGGGGTGCTTTTTGGGAAGGAGCAGGATTACTCCCAGTGCCTCTGGGCATCCCAGATAAATGCATAATCTGTTGTAGTATTAGACATAGATTTGAAAGACGGGTAAATATAGAAAGCAGTCATGCTTGAAGATATTTAGAGAATTTGTTTTTACTATTTTAATCCAGTTACTTAATCTTTCTAAAATGTGGATTTTGCAACAAAATGTTCCCGTTAGTAGCTTTTCATAGGCTCTTCTCCTATCATTTCCTGTTGTTTTCCCAATAATCATGTCTACGTTTTCCTGTAGAAGCATTTTTCATTTCATTCACTATTGCCTCAAGAAATGTAGGAATACGTCTATGGATGCTGAGCAAGTGGAGATATCTAGATTCATCATTCTAGGCTCAGATAATATGGAGCATGAGGTAATTCCAGGTAATGAAATGTGGAATGATTTTCCTAAAAACTGACTCTTAGACAAAGTTAGTCTTATATATGCCTCTGCTGTAAGAAGCACCTGCAAGTTTAGCTTCATTTCTGTGGTCATGAGAACTTAGCCACTTTGTGACCATGGAGGCAATAGTAGGGGACAGAGGCTATACAAGGAGTTTTAATGAAATCATTGAACTGTTCAACTAATCAAATGTGGAACCACATGGCTGGGAAATTCTGTCTGATTGAAACAGTTACATATTCTCGGTAATAAATCATTTTACATCATTTTAGTTACTTGTAGCCAAGAGCATCGTTAAGTCATAGGGAAGCACAGTAAACACAATATGGTCTAAGGTCAAAGATGACCCACACTCTGGCATCAGCTGGACCTATCTTTGGACACTTTTCTTTCCCACTACCAGACCTGGATCTTCTCTTTTATAAAGCACTTACTTCTGAAAACTTGTGATTGTGAATTCTTTCCCATGTCTTTTTTGAGAAATATTTTTTTTTAAATCTCAGCTTCTTGCAGTTTTATAGGCAGAATTTTCTCTCCCAAAGACCTGCATATCATTTCTTTAAAATGAAATTATTAAGAAGGAGAAAACTCCTATCTGCCAGTCTCCTAGGAAATGTGGGAACCCAGCACATAAGATCCGCTTGGAATAGCACAAAATTATCTTCACCAGCTGCACATTTTCATTCTACCTCTCCACTCCTCCAGTCCAATGCTTAAAATATGTCTGGTCTTCTTTCCGTAGAGTTGAGCTCAAGTTCTCTCCCATACGCGATAGTCATAAATAAAGGCTTCCTTGACTCTTACACTTATCTGGCACATTTTGTTTTATTTATTTTTTCAGCAGTGAAGAAGCAAAATATTTTTGAAAATGAGTTATATGGTATTATAAAAACATGAAATTGCTTCACTTTTCATTTATGTTTATCATTTTATTATAGACAGCTAAGTTAGGTAGAAATGTTACAGGCAGTCAGACAGGGCCGGGTCCTCCAGGGAGGCAGTGGAGAGGGTGAAACACTTTTCAACTGGGTTGGAGCCGCCTCTGTTGAGGGCCACACCTCAAGACGGACATGGGGTGTCCAAGCCTGGCTGCTTCCTCAGTGATGAACAATGGGTTAGGGATTGCGTCACCCCCACCTGGGTAGGTAGAACGCCCTGGTTCATCTCTTTCTACAAAGGTCCTTGTTCTTTCCAAGTATTCTTGCTATGTGCCCTGTCTCCGGTTGGATCAGTATTACTGGCTAGACTCATAACCTTATTGGTTGATAATAGTTTTGTCCTGTGTTGCTCCCACCTCGTGATTTTGTACCCACCTTGTGATTTTGCTCTTTAAAACTTCCTCTGTGAAGTGGGGTCCATGGCCACTCATTTTCCAACACCCTCCTGTCTGTCAACAAATACTTCCTACTCTTAACCTCCCTTGGTCCTTAGAATTCATTCTTCATTTTTTAAGGGAACTCAAATTGGGCATATCTGACACCTAGCCGATTGAGAGTTACATTTATTTCTCCAAGGAGAGGAGCTATCATATATAAGAGAGAGATGCTTATATCAATGCAATATAATAATGAATAAAAATATTGTACAGAGAGGCAGGGACTTAATTTTCAGTGCACGTGCAAAGAAAAATTTTCCCAAATATGTATATTTATCTTTTCAAGTATTGGGATGCTTATTATATAGAATAGTGAATGTCAAAGATAATAACGAAGGACTGATATTCTCTTTTTCTGTTTTTTTTGTTTTTTTCCAACACCGGGAATTTAACTCACGACGTTGTGCTTGCCAGGCAGGAGCTGTGCCGCTGAGCTAAATCCCCACCACCAGTGTCAAAGATAAGTAAAATAATTGAACGTGTGTGCTAGTAAAGACCAAAAAAAAAAATAGTGAAAGTAGGTACACAAAAACGATACAAGCGAGTCCACCCAAGTTGCTAAAGTATGAATAACAAAGAGATGTGAACATACCAAGCAAGGAAGGATCATATTCTACTAAAACTAGAGAGGATGGAAAAAGCTTACTTTTCCTGTTTATTTGAAATGCTCCAGATTTTAAGGGGAGAGGGCAAGACTATGGATGCGGAACTGGATGTTTAAGGCTGGCACGGTGACTAGGCAATCAGAGAGCAGGACACAGCAGAAGTACGCAGGATTGGGCTTTCAAGCCTTTGACACCAGGCAAGTTCCTTTCTACTCCAAATTTTACTCCCTTCCTCTAAAGTAAAAGCTTTGGACACAAAATTTGATGATAACAAAAAATTACATAACTTTATGATTCATTCAGAGATCAAGTAAGTAAGGAACTATGGATTGGTGTTAATACTAGCTTTCATTCCTCTACAAATGTAAATGTTTTACAAACTCATTCATCAAGTACATGGAGAATAAATTCAAAAGACAGTAATAAAAGTTTGTTTTTAATTCTGAAAAAAATTGAAATCTAATACCGAAGTGGCTTCACTCTTGAATTCATGGCTCAGTGGGGCTGAATACCTAATACCCTAAGATACTCCAGCTTATTTGGGGCTAGCCAATTCTTCTCTGCTAAAAGCCACTGAAGTGGTATCCCTTGGTACTGGAGTGGAAGCCAAATTGTTCCATTTAGTTGTGTCCTTTGAAAAAGAAAAGCTTTGTGCTAATGGAAAGAGGGAGAGAGGGGAAAGGATTAGGATAATTCCCACTTATTAAAATAACAATAATGTCATTTCCAGTGAAGCAGGTCTTCACACAAAGTGATGAGGAAACATTTTCTGTGATGCTTTCTTGTTTGTGTATGCTAATATAATTTTATTTGCTGAGCAATAATGGGTGTAATTAACCAGTCTGGGTATTAAGTACTTGCCCCCTAAATTGAGTTTACAAACAGCCCTGGAAATTTGGCATTTGAAAAAATGTCAGAAAGAAAAATGTCCACATAAGGGCAACATTTTGTTGCCTAACACTTTTGCAACCTAGCTCATAAAACAAGCCCAGAGAGTGACTCTGACTGTCCCTGATACAGCAGGGTTTTTTTTCTATTTAAAAAATTTCCCCACTAGAAAAGCATTCATTAATGTTCTCTGGCTTGGTTACATAATTAACTCACAGTTTAATCACACATTACATCCATTGAAATTCCAAAAGAAAGCAGCCTTTGCTTTGTACAATTTACTGGATTCACATTGCTTAGGGAAAATAATTTAAGGCTCAAACAATAAACAAAGTATGACACAGCACATTAAAAATGAATTTGTATCTATTAACTTTCTACAAACACAATGTCATGCTCTAGAATGTGTCTTGAGAAGTGAAAAAATTCAAATATAGAGTTTAATGATATCTGTGCATCCTCATTGTCCTTTAGCTGTTCTTGGTGCAGTGAAGGGTTATTCATGATGAAAATTTTGGAAAAGGGAGGAAACTTCCTAACTGATGTTTGCTTATAAAGGCAGCCGAGCTCAACAATGTCTAAGCAACTGTGATATATTTTAAAGAGAGCTCCTGATAGCAGGCAATGAATGCAGCCTTTGAGGAAATGGCATTTTTGTAAGCCTCTGGAGTCTCACTTCTTTATCTATATAAATGAAACTTAACTTTTAAAACAAAAAGTAATTCATATCCTTCTGGTATCAATCCTGACAGATGCCAAGAGTGCAACTACAGGCGTATAAAAATTGTCATCAAAGGGTTTTGTTTCCGCTTGAGAAATACTGTCTGCATTTTGGAAAGATCTTGTGAACCCCGTGACAGTTTGCTTGGGCCAAGGTGTTGTTCTGTCACTGGGACCGGCGGCACACAAGGAAGGCACACTGAAGGAGACCAAAGTACAACAAACAGGATACCGTCCGCCATTCCTCCTGGAAGTCATCTGTGGAAAAGGCTGTTTTTCCTCACATAATAATGAAACTAAGGATTCAAAAGACAAAAAGTGGTGCAGAGAGGGAGTCTCTTTAAGTGGGATGTTTTTCCTCTATTTGAGCACCAAGGAAGGGGACAAGGGTAGGGAGCAAAGCTACTTAGGAAAGGATCATAAACCAGGTCATGCTGTGTTACAGTATGGTTATTTGTGACACACTGTGTTCTCTGGTGTCTTGTAAAACTCACTATGCTTTTTTCTCATTTTTTCACTAAAGACCATGAAATTTTTAGTATATAAAATAAATGAAAGAGAAATTCAAAACTGATAAGCTAACTGAGTCAAGTGTAGTGCTATTAGTAGATAATACACAGGACAACTTTCTTTGTGTGTAGAAAATTGACAGAATATAGTTTTTTTTCTTTTTTTAACCCAAAAAATTATAATCTATTTCTATGTGGGCAAGTCATTTCTTTAACTCAAGCCTAAACTGCTTTGCAAATTTGTAATTTAAAAAGATGCACTCATTAACTCCAGTTCTTTGTAACTTTCAATGCCTTCAAAGCTTCCTTACATCCTACCACATGCAAATGGCAAAATAAAAAATATATAAGTAACATGGGTGAGATTTATGAATACTTGTTTGCTTACAGAATAGAGACATTAAGTCACCACAATTTGTAAAGCAAGTGGTACTATAAATTCAAGAAATATACAAATTTTTATTATATATTCAAGCAAAGGTAGAAAGATAAAATCCTCCCAAAAGGATTTAATGAAGCTACCATCAAAGACAGAAAGAAGTCTTGGGAAAGAAATACTAAAGAGAAACATTTTGAGTATATAGCAACTATAAAAAATTATAAATAAAAATCAAAATATTTGTAAATATTTAATATATGTGTATGTTTTAAATATGCATCCATACATATATGTGTATGTATATGCCCACGTTTATTTTCATCCTTTTTAATGACTTTCAGTTTGAGAGCAACTGGCTTTCTCAAATGTTGGTGGAAGAATAAATTGATATGAACTCTATGGACTAGAGTTTGTCAATATATGTAATTCCAGATAAATGACCATATGGATCAATAGCTTTCCTCTTTTCTTATAAATAATGGAAATATATTCATTACATAGCGATGAGCATATTCATTGCACTATTTTTTATGTTAGTAAAGGATTGAAATAACCTCTATGTCCTCCCCAAATGAATAGTGAAATAGATCATAATATAGCATTTTCATGAAATTCTGCAGCTGATAAACTGAATTCAAGGCAATTTAGATTTGTACGCATATGAAAAAATACCCAATATACCTTGTTAATTAAAAGACAGTGCATCAGACTACACAGCTTCCAATTCTTTGTGAAAAATGCAATTATGTAATATGGAAATAAAGACAGTATTTCCAAAAGACAATATTAATACTATTTTCTCATTGAAATCCATGTGTGAGAGTTGGAGATGGAATGTTAATCGCGCATTTTTATTTTTTGTATTTTAGAGCTCTGAGATCTGGGACTTTGCCCACTCTGAAAAGACTGCTCCTTTCAAAGCAATGAATTCTGGGAGATGGAAAATGGCCTGTTGGTGAGCACACGTCTCATATGCCAACAAATCCATCCGTAACCCATAAATCCATCACTTGCTTTGTCTAGCCAGTAGAGCTTAAAAATAAGACTTATGCCCAAGAACCCTGGGAATTATTAAAATTAGCCAAGCCTCCATGGCCTGTCTCCTTCCTATGTCTTGCCAGGGTCTTGCCATCTTATCCCTTCGCTCCTGTCCACATTTTGGGTGGTGAATGACTCCCACAGGCCCATGTATTAAAGGCTTCATCCTCAGCTTGGCATTAACACGACATAGCACAAACTTTACAAGATGAGCCCCGGTGGGAGGCCGTTTTACTCACACTCCTCGCTGTTGGGGAAAAACACCAGACATTGCAATTTCAAAGAGGAGGGCTATTTTGGCTCCCAGTTTCAAAGGTTTCAGTGCTTGGCTGGCAGGCGCCAGGCAGGAAGAGCATCCTGGAAGGGCCAGCCATGTGGAAAGCTGCTCACATCATGGGAGCCAGGAAGCAGGGAGTGCAGAGAGGAGCTGGAGAGGGATGCGCCCTTCCTGGTCATGTTCCCAGTGATTGCCATCTGTAAACCAAGCCTCCCTTCCTAAGGGGAAGGTCAGCGATGAGCGCATCACTGGGTTGATCCACAGCATGACTATTCTCCGATTATCTCCCGGAAGTCCCACTTCTGAGCTCACAAGGCTTTGGGGGATGCTTCAGATCTAAGTCTCAACAGTCTGCACATGTTGTGGTGTGACGCTGCTCCTGAGAGCTGGAAAAACTCAAGAATTGCAGCATCGGTTGTCTCCTGATGCATTAGTATCTCTAGAACTAAATAGTAACAGTAATAATAATAATAATAATAATAATAATAATATTTAAAGTATGGCAGGGAATTGGATGTCTTTTATAATTGTATGAATATTTTCACACTTGTGAATGTCATCTATATAAAATAAACAAGGTATACAAAAGATGCAGGTAAATATCATTACAGAATCTCAGCAACCTCTCACATATCTGAATGGTAGCCAAAATGTGAGAATAAATGTCTACTGTTACATAAAGGAAAAGAAAAGAATATGTCTTGGGAACAACTCAGCATCAAATGTTAAACTATAGCTATAATAAATCACAAGCAGCTAATGCATCTTTGCCAATAAAAATAGAAACTTTTTCCATGAAGAAAATGAGCACAGGAAAAAGCTCTGAATAAGTGGAAAGATATACATTTCTTACATGTGTTTATTTATCATTTAAAGAAAACAATATTTCCATGCCCATGAAAAATCCAATGCACTGCCTGTTAAAGTTCTTATCAGTTGCTTTAACTCCATAAGAAAGTTGGAGGGTTCAAAGCTAGCCACGCCATATTTAAATAAGATTAAGGAAAACTCTCAGTATTCAACCTTGAGAATTGCAACACGGACTACTTAAAATGGTGTATGGGAATACAATGATGGATTAATTAAAGGATTAATTAAAGAAGGAATTTGAATGTAATGATGGATTAGTTAAAGGATTAATTAAAAAAGAGTCTAAAACATATTTGTAAGGAGAACTGGAGTTTAAATCATTAATATCAGCAGGAAAGACAGTGCTGTAAGGGAAAGTCCTTATCAATGGAGAGCTGGAAGAAAAATTAACTATCTCATATTTGTTAGGAACAGATTCCTGGAATTTTGAATCAAATATTGTAACTTTTAAAGTTTTAGAGGTTAATATTTGTAAATATGTTGATGATACTTGAGTTTCATGAACTATAAAGGAAAAGTAAAAACAATTCTGACTTACTAGACCCAGCGTCCTCCCATGTCCTAGAATTAAATTGTTCAGCTAATTTAAGTTTCAAAAGATCACGACCACTGTTCTAAAAACAATTTAACTTAATGTGAAATACTTCTGATTTGAACAAAATTTTCATAAGGAAAGGAAACAAGGCAGGATTTTCTGAATTTTATAGGTGAGTAACTGAGCTACAGAGAAGAGATTAAACTATTTCCCTACCTGTGTGTATTTAGGTTATACTTTAAAAATCAGATATAGACTAAAACTTATATTTTACTGAGCAGAATAATATTTTCCAAAACTATACCTGCCTGAAAGAGAATGGAAAAAGGATTCAATCATCATAAAACAAAGAAAGGTGCCTCAAATTTAAGAATATAAAAATTGATGACCCTCATATATTCTGGTATAGAGCAAAATTTGAATTCAGAGTAAAATATGAATATTATGACTGCATTTCCCACCCAATCATTTCAAGTTTGCTTTAGAACCAGCATAAGAGACCTCATAGCAATGTTGATAAGACAGACCTCTGTACACAGAAAACCTTCAAAGCAAAATCTGCTGCAATAATTTATTAAAATATATAATAGACTTGGATTGTACCTGCATTGTCTAGAGTCAGGAAGTCTCTTCCATGTGTATTTTACCTCTTTAATTCAATCAGAGGACCACAAATAACCTTTACCAAAGGACAGGATTATTGAAGCTCTTAAAACTGTTTAAAGGAACACAGAGGCCCTCCTGTACTGACTTTCCCTGGAAATCAAGACAGACATTTCTCAGTAGAGGATTGATTCATTTACCAGTAGCCTTCAACAAATAGATTAGTGGGTAAAAAGCATATTTTACCAAATGGTCAAATCAGAATTAATCTTTCTTATCCAGTGCCTCTATTATAATGACTTAGCATATTTGTGTTTAAAAGTATCACTTATAAATTAGACAGAGTTCCTTGAAGGAGATGACATTTGTATTACCTTTACAATCTCTCATAAATGCATATAGCCCTGATCTACAATAGAACCACAGCAAAACAAAATTTCTCTATACTGAAGGAAACTATCTTGAGTGAGGATAATGGTAGGTATTTTTCTCTTACCATGTACTATTTTTAAATTGTGTTGCCAGAGGAGTCTATTGCTTTGTTTTCATTTTATTTATTTATTTATTTATTTATTTAGTCTCTTTTGAGACAGGGTCTCACCATGCAGTTCACACTGGCCTTGAGCTCACTTTGTATCCCAAGCTGGTCTTGAACTCACAACAATCCTCCTGCCTCAGATCCTGAGTGCTGGGATTACAGGCGTGTGCCACCATGCCTGACCCTATTGCTTTGTTTTTAAATCAAACATTAAAATCTTTTTTTAGGATATTAAGTTTTTTTTAAAGATAAAAGAATAAAAACATATGAACAAATACACATACATTTACAAAATAACACAGGAACAATACAAGCAATACAGAATTTCAGACAAGGTGGAAGGAAATTAGAAATGGTTTTTGTATTGCACATTGATATCTTCAAATTGGTTACTCAGATAAACAAATATAGGCATGTAAAATTGATCAAACCATTAAACATTAACTGTTCCTTTCAATAGAGCAATAGAAATCATTAGTACAACTATGTTAGCTGTCTTGTGTATCCATATATACATATTTATATGGTAAGTAAGTAAGTAAGCATTCATGATTTTCCATGGCCTGAATTAGGACATGAGCTACATAAGTTATATAATTTTCACGATAACCTGATGACGCGCACCTCATTGTATTAGCATTATGGGCTCTCGGTAAGTAATAAATTTCCCTAACTCACCTAATTAACAAGTGTTAGGGCTGGGCTTCAAAACTTCCCTTTAGGAATGAACCATCCTGTGAATACACTCTCAATCAAGTTACTGTGTTTCCTTCTGTCTTGGTTACTTTTTTTCTAGCTGCTAGGACGAAATATCTGGCACCCAAATTTAAGGAAAGAAAGGTTTATTTCGCTTACAGTTTGTGGAGGTTTCAGTCCGTATTTGGCAGATTACAAGGCAGAGTGGCACATGGTGGAGAGCTACAGCTCAGGACACAGAAAAGCAGCAACCACACACCAGGGCGGAATGGGGGAGGAATGGCCTCAAGCACCCTTTTCCTCTCCCTTACATATGCAAACTATCCACCCCAGGGCGAGTGCAGCTCTCACACCCACAATCAAACTCTAAAAGCCTGCCCCATGGTAGCATGAGGCTTTGGGGGGACACCCAGACATAAACCATAACACCTTCATTATATCTCTGTTATCCAAAACACTTTTAATTGTAAGCAGACTAACTTCTCGGCATACTTACTGGCTTCTGCATACTCGCCACTGCATATTTCCAGTACTTTTGCTTCCTAGACTCCTAAACCATGACTTCTTTGCTGCCGCCAGCAGCAGATATCCTCACACTGCAGCAAAAGGGATCTCTCACCTTCTTTGGCTAATCAAGCTCCCTAATTGTTCCTGGAACCGCTTGTTCTCATCGTCTCTTCTCAGAGACGTTGGTAATCAGGGTTGCTGTGATATGAATGTTACAATTCTAATTATGGAGATTGGAAAGAAATGTACTTTTACCTTTTGTATATTTAACTCATTTTTATTAGGTTGGTTGTTCTGGCTTCATGTTAACCTACTTAGAAAACTAAGCTAATGCATTTTTTATTTGTTCTGAAATACGATGAATCATATGCAACGTGGCGTTATTCTTAACTTTTTTGAAATTGATTCTAGAGGAGACTAGTGACACATTTTTTTCTTTCTTGCCCTCATAGGTTCTTAGCTGGAATGGATCCTTGAAATGAAAAACACTGAAAAAAGGAAAACAGAATTCTATCAGCATATGAACTTCTCATATACAAGGGAGAAACCTAGGGGATTCAAAGTCATCAAAAACGAGGCTTGGAATTTTAGCTGGTGGAGTGTCTTCTCTACTTTTAATTCCTATTGATGATTAGGGTTTTTTTTACATTTTTTATTTCAAAGAAAATAAAAATTAAAAAACATTAAAAATGATACAGAATTTCAAAACAAGATGATAGGAAATCAAGAGTGGCTGCTATATTATAATGTTATCCTCAAAGTAGTTCTTCAGATTATCAGATATAGGCATGCAAAATTGATCAAAAAGTAAGCATTAACTGTTCTTTTCAATAAAGCAATCGAAATTAGTAGTATCATTATCTTAGCTATCCTGTGTGTATTTTATATATATTTTTCCCTTCCTTCTTTCTTTCTTTTCTCCTTTCCCTAATCCCAGCTGTTGTTTCCTTTTGAGCAGTTTCTTTCCCTTCCACAATATCTACTGTACTTTTCAGATCTTATTTACTCTTTCATCTTCTTACATTAGGGAGAGGATATGATGTTTACACATGCAGGTCTTATTTATTTTACTTATGAGTGTGATCTCTAGTTACATCTATTTCCTATAAAAGCCTCAAGTGTATTTTTCTTTATCACTGAGTAGTACACCATTGTATAAAAATACCACATATTTTTTAACCATTCTTCAGTTGATGGGCATTTGTGTTGTTTCCAAGATTTTTTAAGGAGATGTGCACCCATGTTTATAGCAGCGCATCTTCGTGAAACAGAAGCAAATTTTCAAACTAACAATACAAAAATAAATCTTTGTGTCTCCAGAGATAGAAACTGGGGAAAAGCAAATAAAGGCTAATTTGTAAATAGTTACCACTCTATTATAATTTTCAAAACAGCAATGATTTATTAAAGTTCTTTCTTCACCTGGAGGAGAAGGATGAATGTAGAAACATCTTTGACTTTGTAGTTGTGTTCGTAGCATCAGGCAACTAAGAGAACAGATGGCTTCCTGTCTCCACCTTCAACTCAACAAGTTTGTTTTAAAATTGCATTTTCTGATCTACCACAATTCAAAAAGAGAAGACAGATTAAAACACATACATCTGGGCATGGTGGCACGCCTGTAATCCCAGCACTAGGGAGGCTGAGGCAGGAGGATCGTTGTGAGTTCGAGACCAGCCTGGGTTACAAATTGAGCTCAAGGCAAGCCTGAACTTCATACTGAGACCCTGTCTCAAAAAGACCAAAAGATTAAAACATAAAAAAATAAAATGTATAGTTTTCAAAAGGTAATATTAAAAGAATATTGAAATTCTAATGATTAAATTGAAAATTTAACTTTATATATGTATATGTATATTTTTATTACATATACACTTAAATGCAAAAGTCAAATATATAGCAAATATATTTAAATCACAGATTTATTTATAATTCATATATAAAATTCATACATGTCCATATATATATAATTGCACATATATATGCAACTCATACATGTATGTTCTTTGACTTATAATTTTAAGAGGATTCCATTTATATATACACATATATAAGTAAACAAACTCCAAGTATATGTGGAGATTTCATCTATCTGAGGTTGTAGGACTCTTCAGTAAAGAATTAGTTAAGGTTAAATATAATGGCCATTGAAATAATGATTTGCATACTTCTGACATAAAATTTGCTTTAAGAATTTTTTGAACTTTGAAATTTTTAGTTAACATGTAGAATTTATGTGTTAAATTTAGCTAAAATAGCAAAGAGAAGATAATGGAACACTTAGAAATAAGTGGGCTCATTTATGTAAGTTCTGTTAATTTTTTCTTACAGTTTTCTATTTTATCTGATGTTTTTCTCCACATCTCTTTATTTCTAACCAAAAGAAAAATGCAGCACTTTCCACAACAATATACTTTATTTTTGCAGCACATTGGAGGCACTTAGGCAGAAAATTTCCTTTCACAATTAATCTCAATATCTTGTTCTGTCTTATTGCATTGGTTTTTAAATTCTCTGATTTTCAAGTTTTGTGATTAAAACAAGTTTATTTGAAAGGAAAATTTGTTTAAACCTTTAATATTTGTACCATATTTCAAAAAATTTTAGAAAATATTAACTACATATTTAAAAAATACTTTTAAAGTATTCTTTTTCATTGGTTAAGTAACTTTTGGATGAATTTCCTTGCCAGTTCTGAAACAACTCTGTGGAAGTTAATAAATTCACTTCAAAGGTGAGGAACAGATGCTGAACAGAGAAGATTCTTGCCATGTTGGTGCTCACGAGCAGGCTGAGAATTACCTTTAATTTGAACAATTAATATATTCATCCAACAAATACTTCTGTACACCATCCTGTGGATTTGCTGGCATGGTAAATAATGAATTTTGCACTTCATCTACATTCTCTCATTTTGTAGAAAAAATATAATTTTTGAAAAAATATATAATGAAATCGAATAATACTTCATGGTGTTGTACTTCACCCATCTCCAGGGGTTGGACATGGCTTTTCCATCCCAACTGAAGGAGTTCCACCTTCCTTCTACATAGGGTGCTCCAAGCAGGAGCTGATAGTACCGGCCCAGACAGACCTCCACCGTGATTGGTTCAGAGTTGAGTCAATGAGAAGGTGACCAATCAGGACTGATACAATGAATTTTCCTCTCTTGAGTAAGGAAGAGATTCTTAGACTCTCACTGAACCTGAACAGAGAACTGTATCTTTGACAGTGGGCCTGATGTTAACCATCAATGGAACCAAAGACAAACAAGATGACAGTAAGAAGCGAGAGCACTGAATAAGAATGAAACCAGTCCTTAGATGTCCCCAGAGGAGCCGCGTGCATTACTTCTAAATATGCACATCACGCCAGCTAGGTCATTCCCTGCACTCTCTAAGCCACTATCTACTGCATTTCCTCTACTTTCAATTTAGAGACAACTATAAATTCCAATATTAGGTTATCACCTCCACCTAAAAATTCCTTAATCTGGTACACAAAGGCAAGTACAAACACGGTCTAATTTCTAGCCCAGACATTTTTAATTTATAAAGATGGAAGGTTTGATGTTGTTTTAGTGACTTTATTTAGCCATGTACTCTTTATTGATATTTTTTTCTGACTCCTTGCAGTACCAGATATAAAAAGCAGCAGGTTTTCTCAAATGAGATTGTTGTAGGTGTTGATGAATTTTCCAAATGTCCATTTTGCTGGAATTAAGGAACAGAAATAGATATAGGCAGGACATCATTTTCTGCCCATCACTTTCAGAGATCTCAGAGGAAAACTCCTCACTCAAGACAGTTCTCAGCCTGAAAATTACTATCCAGAGCTGAGGATAGTTGTTTGGATGAATGACAAAATTAATACATAATGCAGATTTGGTCACATTGAGAAGAAAATCCATGGATAAGTTTTGCTGGGCTGAACAAAATGCATAAGTGTCCTAAAGTCTGGCTTCATCACCAGAAGGATAAAGGCTCACAAATGCAAAGCAGATGTGACATATGTCAGATCAACTCCTGGACAGGCATGAGAGTGGAGCCCCAAATCTACAAAACGTTGGGCTACAAGAAAGAAACGTAAGTCTTTAAAACTAATACAGAATCAGATTTTCACAGTCACATCAACTTATATCAAATATAAACAATACTGCACATAAAAGTCAAAAGAGCATGTGAATGTAAGAGAAATATGATAATCCTCAGAGTCAAGGTTGGAGCAGCCATGCACGTGTATGTAAGCCCCAGGTAGCCATGCTGCTAGGACGGAGTGTGAGTCCCATATTCCCAGGCAGTTTCTCCTTGCTCATACTCCTGGATGTTTCTGAATCTATCAAGTTTTCTCCTTTACCGTTATTCAAAACAGTCTGTGTTCCAAGTGCACGTTCCACTTGATCCTTTAATTTTAAACAGTTTGCATTAATTCAAATGAGCAGTGATAAAGTAGATGCACCATGGGATGTCATGTTATTTTCAGTAGAGGTACCTGTGAAGTATTATTTTGTTTTGAAAAAATTCATAGAGCCCGGTTCACTATCTTTAGGGAATAGTGCTTTAGATTTAACCAAATGCATAAGGTTGTGTAATTACAGCAAGTACAGAGAAAGATACATAATGTTCCATCAAGCTTCCCAAAGCTCCCTAACATTAACTTCTTTTAGTTATTTTCCTCCATGAAGAGGTCAGCCGTTTATCTCTTTTCTTTTCTTATAATTTTCCTTCTCTGTAATTTTTATACAGAAGATAATATCTAGCCCCTAGGCTATTGATATCTTTTCATTTGCTTATTTTCCGTCATATAGTCTTGTTGTGATGTGTTTACTCAAATCTTTTGTTCATTTCTAAAGGATAGTTTGTTTAAGTGGCCTTCATATGGCCTGAACGCCACTCTTTTGACAGACTTTTAATTGGAACACATTTTTCTAAGGTTATCAGGACTTTTTCCTTTGACTGAAAACTTCTAACTCAAAACTTAGAAGTATTAAATTTTCTATAGAGTCCAATTTATCCATTTTTCTTTCTTTTAATGGATTCTAGACTTTTTTATACTGAGAATTGATGTCAGGACCTTGCACTTGCCAGGTAGGAGCTGTGCCACTGTGTTATATCCCTGGCTGGATTTTAACATTTTAGAAAATCTTCCTCCTGTATTTTTTTAAAGGTCTCAGAGTTGTAGGCTTTTCATCTAAGTTCATGACCCAATCGAAAAAATACTTTATTATAATATATAAGATAGGAATTGCAGCTTATTTTTGGTCTAGTCATGTTTCAATCCTCCAGCATCATTTCATTGTGGAAAGGGATATATATTTTCTGGTGCATTGCCCTTACATCTGTGTCAAAAACCCATGAAATATATTCCTGCACTCCTATTCATCAACTCCCTTTTCTGTTGCATTTATATCTGTGTTTATCATCTTGCCAACATTACACTATTGACAGCTTTTGCATTATGAAATGTATTGATCTACAGAAATGTTATGCAAATACCAGTCTTTTTTTCTCCTTTTCAAATTTACCTACTATATTTCTTGTGATATTCCACAGAAAGTTTAAATTAGGTTATTTTTTGGCTAACAATGATTCCAGTGGAAATTTAGAATAGATTGAATCTATAGACCATTTTGGGGATAATTTACATCAGAATGACACTGAGTCTTCTTATCAAGGAAACTGCATATCTTCCCATTAATTTAGCTTCTTTTGATGTCTTCCATCCTTGGTTCTAGTTTTGTGCTGAAGATCTTTCACATATTTGTTAGTATATCACTATTGCTGGCATTGCCATTCTGTTGTAGATGATTTCATTTTATTTCTTGATTTGATTTTCAATTTTTCAACGTGTTATATGGAAAAACAGTTGATATTTTTAATATTGATTTGTATCTTCTGACATTCATAACCTCAGTAATAACTTAATAATTTGCAATATTTATTTCAAATATTTAATTTCTTGATTTATACCTTATGCCCAATTTGAAGCAGCAGTTCACATTCCCATCATAAATTTCTTGTTGAATTTTCTTATATTTAGAGGACATATCTTCTATTTCACTTCATTTACATTTATTGCTAGTTCTTTTCTGCAAATTATAGCTGAATTTGTTGACTATGTATGCTCACTTAATAAGAAAGTCTGTGTATACTCTGCCACTTTTTATGTGTGTAAAGTGTTCTATATCCATCCTTTAAAAATGTTGGTATCTTTTTCTATAGACTTAATGTTTACTTGTTGTTTATTTGCTGTTTATTTAGTATATTTTTGATTGAAAGATGTTGAAGCATGAAAATCATATAAAAGACTTGTCTTTCTCTCCATCTAGTTCTGGCCCTTTTGTTGTACTGTTTTAAAATGCACATGCATTTAATTTCATAATATACACTCTGAAATGTTACTTTTTGCATCTCCATTTGTCGTCTTTATTCCTGATAATATTTACTTTTCTGAGGATTACTTTGTCCCATATTGATGTAGCTACTCATGGTTCTTTCAGTTAGTAATTGCCTGACCTATCATTTTGCTATTCGTACATTATTAAATCAGTTATCACTTTATGTTGTAAGTGGATTTCCTGAAGATGACTTACCCTGTTCTCCTGTTGAGAATATATTTTGATATTCATTTTTAGCTCATGCACATAGACCACATAAGTTTGAGGTAATTACTTATGTGTTTTCTTCCTACGGTGAAGCACTTCACGTCTTATTTTGCATTTGTTCCTGCATATTTTCATTGCTACATGTGTGCAGTCCATGAAGTCTGGATTCACCTTAAGGTGCAGGTGCCCTCCTGATTCTTTTTAACCCCCTCTTCCTTCCTTTCTCACCTCTCTCCATCTCTAACTCACCGCTTCCAATTTTTGTTCTTACTCTTCTTACTCTCTCCTCACCCCATCTCCTCTTGTCCTTCCCATTCCCAGCACGTCTGTCTCTTTACTCCTTGGCTCAATCCTTTATTTTGGTGTTTATTTGAACTTTGTCTTACTCAAATGAGAGACACCATATAATATTTAAGCTGCTCTGTCTGGTTTATTTTAATTAACATTATTTTTTTCAGGTGTACTCCTCAGCTTCCAAAAAAATATATTCTTTTTCCCTGTCTTGAGTAATTGGCAATTTAATCATAATAGTTTAATTTATACACTGCATTTTGGTTATATATTTTTGTATTTTTTAAGTGGTTCCCCTGCTAAATTACACATGCCTCTCTTTTTATCTTTTTTTTTTTATTTTAAAGATAAAAGGAGGGAAACATTAACAGACATACAACATTTTACAACATCACAAGCACTGTACAGACAATACAGAGTTACAAACAAAGTGGTAGGGAATTAATAATGCTTGTTGTATTACATATCTTTTTACAACCTCCAGCTACTCCATTACTACTTCAATAAAGAACATCTTTTCTTTCCTTCTCGCTTTTTGTTATAATTGTCATATGTATTCTATTGATGTTCATTGAAAACCATTCTAAATATTCAATATTTCTATGTATCATAGAGAAGTAGTAATAACGCCTTATGTTTCATCAGATATTTACTATGTCTTTTGTTCTTTAATTGCAATGCTTCAGTTTTCTCTCTGATATTATTTCCTTTGACCTGAATATACTTTTACAGCAGATCAGATGGCAGCATAGATTTCTCTTTTCTTTCACCCAAAAGAAATGTACTTACCCTTATTTCTGAAGGGTACTTTTGTTGCCGCGGTTGTACTTGAGAGTTCCTTAAGTACTTCAGGGATAATCTAATGCTCTTTTATTCTGCAGCAAATCCTCCATGGTTTCTGAGAAACACACAGCCAATTGACTCTCTGCTTTCTCCCTTACAATGTATTATTTCCCTTCCTAGTATGTTGTTTTTCCTCTTCTTTATTTTCAAAAGTTTTATTATGATTATTCTAAGTATGTATTTTATGTATTTATCTTGTTTGGAGTTGTAGAATTCCTGAATATTTAAAGATTTAGAAATTTGGGAATTTCTAAATTTCTTTTCCTTCAAACCTTTATATTCTTGAACTACTCTCTGTCTCCTCTTTTTCTAGAATGGAAATAACACAAATTCTTGACCTGTTGATTATGCACCACAGTTCTCAGGTGGCCTGATTATTCTTCTTAATCTTTCTATATAAAAAATTGGGTAATTTTTATTTACCAATTTTTTTTTATTTCATATAATTTTACTTTTTGTTCTTCACTGTGCTATTCAATGTATTTTCCCCAGATATCATACTTTTTCTGTCCCACAATTACTTTTGGCACTTTTAAATATTTCTCTGTTTAGCTCTTAAATCTTTTCTCATGTTTCAGATGTGTTTACTTTTATGGAACATGATAACAATAGCTCTTTTACTATTTTACCAAATACTTTCACCATTGAGAACATTATTTATATATTAGCTTTCTATTCCCTTGACAATTGGTGATGTGATTCTTTTTTATGTCTATTAATTTTTTTGCATGTTTAATTTTATAGAGAATAACAAAGAAAAAATAACAACAGCATAGACAAAAACAAAATAACACAAAATAAAAATGATATAGGGTTTCAAACCAAAATGATAGGAATTAACAGTGGTTGTTATAGTGCATATTTTTATCTTCAATGAAGTTGTTCCGATTACCAGATGTAAGAATGTCTATTAACTTTAATTACAGACGTGTTTCATGTTCTGCCACTGATTCTTTCAAAATATGCTAATCCTTTCTTTCTTTCTTTCTTTCTTTCTTTTTTTCTTTCTTTCTTTCTTTCTTTCTTTCTTTCTTTCTTTCTTTCTTTCTTTCTTTCTGTATTTTGCTTAACAGGTAACAAGCACAAACATATGGCTCAGGATTTGTTTTGCTCTCCAGCAAACATTTTTACGTTGTACTTAATGCTTTGAATTCTTCGATTGGTGCTTAGTCTTTGTCCTATACACCCATGGCTAAGTAAAACCACTTTTTGTGCTGGTTGATAATGGAAACCAGAGTTTTTCATTTTGTTTTTTGGGGGGGCCTTGTTTGCAGTCCATAATGATTACCTTCCTCATGAGGAGTTGGTGCTTACACCGAGAGCATCTTCTGTGATCATTCCTCTGCCCTTTTTTCCCTCCCCTCTTCCCCCATCTTTTGCTTCCTTTCCCTTTCGCAGAAGATCTGTCTCCCTAATATTATCTGTCTCTTCTGTTGGTCTATATTTGTATTTTGGTTTCTCATATGAGACACTGTATGATACTTAAACCTGTGAGACTGATCTACTTCACCTAACATAAGGGTCTTGAGGTGCATCAGTTTTCCCACAAATGACTGAAGTTAATTCACCTTTATAGCAGAACAGTGCTCCATTAGGTATAAATACCACATTTTCTTTATCCATTCATCTGTCAACGGGCAGATGGGCACTTACCATCTTTTTCAAAATCTGAATTTCCTCTGTATTCACTGATACCACTGAGTCTTTTTCTCACTCATGGCTGAGATTTTGTCATCTATAGAGCTACCTGACCATGTACATGGCTTGCTTTCAAAGGCCTGGAGATGAAAGCAGAAATGCCCTCTCTCTATTCATTCCTAAGTTGGTTCTTTACATGTGGCGTCCCTTCTACATGAATCAAGGGCCCTGCGCCCAAGCCCCTTGCTTTCGTGCCTGCCTCCTATATTCTTGCATATCACAGGGATACTGCCTGTTTTTGTCCTTGAGATCCACAGCCTTGACTTCATCTTAAAACACAAATAAGGCTGAGACATGTACACTTAAGAATTTTACTTTATTTAACATACAGAGGTCCCTGGGGAAAATTCATTGCTGATGGCAAAGGAGACAGCACAAATGACAAACTGCCTAAACCCTAGGTTGGCCTGAACTGCAAAGTGTACTCAATCCTTGCAGACATATAATGTTCAGGCACACAGTAAATTCAGGTAGAGTGCACACAGGCTCGGAGACAATGGTCTGGAATGGGCTGTATTGATAATACCATTATGATCTTCCTTGCGGCAGACAGCACCACAATCCCCTGATGCATGTCTCTTAAATCATGTTTGAATATGAACATCTTAATATCACATAAAGCAAGACATGTCTTAAGAGATTTTTGTGTCCAATGAGCTGAGAAAAAAGGTAAAATTCCTTTGTGATTTGTTTCAAATCTGTTTCTCAAAAACAGATAAGCTAGCAGTCAAGCTAAAAATTAAATGTGTGAAATTCTACAATGTGAACATCTTTAGCCATTAGATATGTTGGCTTAGAAAACAGATTTTTCATAAGTGCGTTTATTACTGAAAAATTATAAGAGCAAGTAAAACCTATAAAATGCAAACATAATTAAATTTTTGATTTAAACTTTCTCCAAATATCTTCAACTAACTTATGGTTGAAATTTTTCATATTACCATTACATTAACAAATTTGCTAATTTTCATTATTGTTTGTATTAGTCTCAGGTAAGAGCATTATACTTGCTTGACAGAATGATATCCACACTCTGAAGGACATCCATGCTCTGACCCAGTGCCCGTGACTTCACTCACTCATGTGGTAAAATGAACTGTGCAGATTTGATGAGGAGAAGGCCCTGACATCAGTGATTTGGGATCAGACCGGGGTGGACCAAATGCAATCACAATCACCTAATAAAATGAATGCATGTACGATCCATGTCACAAAGGCAGGTGGATGGACAGGAGCAGCAGTTATAGTCAGACAGAATAGAAGCTGGCCTGATTGAAGAGAGAGGCAGTGTCCAAATGGAAAAAAAAAATGGGGGAACCTCTGGAAGTTTGAAGACTCAAGGAAGTTGATTGCCTTCTGGGTTCTCCACAAAGGACTGCAGCCCCTGCTGGACCTTGATTTTAGCCCAGTGAGACCAATTTTAACTCTTGACTTCTGGGGCTGTAAGACTTTAGATCTGCATTGTGTTCCTCCAGTAAGTTTGTTTTGATTGGTCAGCATCAAGAGGGACCTTAGAGCATCACCCTGACATACACTTGTAGAGCTACCTTTATTAAGTTGGTCTGTATATTGTGGATTTCAGCTTCAGGCCATATTTTTCTTCTTACATGTGACTAATTGTCCAAAATAAAAATGTCAAAGACATTATTTTTAGACTAGAAAGCATTAAGTGTGGTACAATAGTTAAAGGCTAACCTGGTGCACAGTTATAGTCAATTTAGTGAGTTTATGAATGTGTCATATGCTGACTTCAATCCATGGTCCCCAGATCGTAGTCAATTATTACATCATGAGGGGAGCCCATGCTCCCTCCCCTGGGTAGGGGTGTGATTGCTTCATCAATAGAGTATAATAAAACTGAACTCTGGAGCAATGTGTGGGTGAGCTGATGAGGCTGATAGTTTCTACTTCCTGTATTTTAGGACATCTCTTTTGGAAATCACCTCCCATGCAATGAGGAACCAATCCAGGCAAAAGGCCAAGTGGGAAGGAATCTACAGGTGGTATTAGGCAGCCATCTTGGGAGTGATTCAGTTTGAAACTGACTTTTTGAAGCCAGCTGGGCAACATCCAAATGCTGCAGCTCAGAGCACAGAGGAGCGGTCTCCGTCCATCACTCCCATCCAAATTCAGATTCATGAATAACAACAATAACCAGAAACAATAGCTGTGCCACCAAGCCATTACATAAAAGTACATTTCAAATAAAGCAGCAGTGAAGCAGAGCATATCATACACATTTACCTCTGCACTGAGATATGTCACGTCATCAAAGAGTTTCTGCACTGAATGGAAAATATTTAAATAACTTTATTTTGAATTTACATAAAATATTCGAAAAATGCCACTAATTCTTTTAATGATTTAAATACAGAAAGTGTCAGTGGCATTTAGCAGAAGCCGGTGTCTGGGAGATGGTGGTGCAGTATGTCACAGCATGTGTCAGTCGCCAAAGGGACTTAGAAAGTGCAGCTTGGACATACACATGCGTTTCCCACCTGTTACATAGTTCAGTACACACAAAACCAAAAATGTCCATCTGTGTCGCCCTAATAAAATGCATCCTTAGAATATGTCTGAGGTTACACTGAAGTCAACAGTTCTGCAAATGTTCAGTCCTATCAGTTCTTTCTATCACCTCTTACTGTGTCTCAGTTGTCTCCAAAAAGAAAACATGCATACATTTATTTATTTATTTATTTCAGGATATCCATAGTTAATTCACTTGTTATTTCAGATTGTGCAAAATAAACATAAAAGTACAACTAATAAGAGATGCTGCTCTCTCCCATGACTGTCATTTTAGATTTACTGCATTCATAGGTCTTGAATCCTATAGCGTAGCTTTCCCCTAAAACACCTTCCATAGCCCTGCAACATTAATGAGTATGCTCTAGTAATTACACAAGCTTGAAATTTCATAAAAACCTTTCTCAGATCTGTTTCCTTCACTCAGAAGCAGAAAAACAGAAACTAAAATAAGAACAACTCAATTTGTCACCTTGTCACATCTTAGTTTCAGGTTGGAGATACAATCTTTGTCCCAAATTTTTCTTCTCACTGTTGCTTTTGAGTGAGTTCTGTGGAGTCTTTCATTCACTGAAATTTGACTGTATTTTAAACTAAAGATTTGAAAATTTTTCACATTCAGTACTTATATCTTTTATAAAGTTTGTATCATGCTCAGACTGAAGTTGCTTTGATGAGGATCATTGATCCTTACATTATTAAGAATCACAGCTGCTCTAGTACTTCATGTCCAGATACAGATTATTTTAAGATTTAAGCAATTTTAATCATGGCTATGACATTGCAGCTATGACAAGCACATAGTTCAGAGAATTGGAAAATTACCACAATTTTATTTCTTTGTTAAATATCAAATTCTTTGAGGAAAAGAATATTTCAGACCTAGCATAAATAGAAAGGCTCCAAATATCACACATGAGAATATTTTAATTATTACTGATCTTGGTATAGAATTGGCTGAGGATAAAGATGATTACCCTCCCTGCGGGTGGACAGCCTAGAGATCAGTCTTTCTGTTCTCCATTTCTCTAAGTAACAGATTCTTGAAGGTAAATTCCACCCAATTTTTTTTTACCATGTTGAGTCATGTTAATATATCCAAAAACTGAATGCTAACGCTCTGCTCTCTACTGATGTAGAGAGCTGGAAAAGGATGAAGGCAATTATTACAGAAAACAGAAGCAGACACTAGACATGTCCTTTATCCTCCAAGGGTAGGAGGTACTGATAGACTTTAAAAACCTGATTTCCACATGCGATAAAGGCTAGAAATTCAGTCAGTGCCTTATAATTAAGTGACTTGGTCCTAAATTTTGAGATTATCCACATTAAACACAAGTATTCTTGCACAAATAATTATTTACAACAGTTTCAAATTACTTCATCTAAGAATATTGCTTAATTTCAAGGAGTTTAATGACTGATTGCCTTGCAACTCTGACAGATTAAAAAAATATTTAAATACTAAGTATAGTTAGCACTACATATTTCTGGCTCCACATCCAAAGGTTGAAAGGAAAAGGAATGGAAATATTCAGAAAAAATTGTGTCATTACTGAACAAATATAAACTTTTTTCTCATCATCCTTATTTCCTAAATATAAGGTATGAAATTGTGTATATAGCACCTACATTGTTTTAAGCTTCGTAAATAATCTAGAAATGATCTAAAGTACACAGGAACATGCATACCTGTTCTACATGATAGTATTTTATTTTATATAAGGGACTGGAGTACCTTTAGATTTTGATATTCACATGCATCCTGGAACCAGTTCATTATAGAGACCAAGACACAATTATATGTTTAAAAATTTAGCTTTTATTAAGTGTGTTTAAAGTAATTACAAATTGTGATAGATGTTTTTTGATGTTTATCGAGGGTTTAGGAAAATTTAGTCAAGAATAATTATTTTTAGAAGATCTGACCTAACTCATGCAACTTTTCCTAATTTGGGAAGAGAGAGCAGGAACAAGTTGGCACATAAAAATTTTATTTTTGCATACATTCTGGAAATATATCCATGAGTTACACTACTCCAAAAATAAAAAGTCAAGTAGCACTATAAATCTTTTTGATCCACCTCTAATTTTGAATTTATCTTTAAAGTTTCACCCCTTGTTATGGCTTATGTCTAGATGTCTCCTCAAGGCTTCATGTGGTCATAGGTGGGGCATTTCAGAGTTGGCTGGGGCTAGAGTGTGTGATGCTGAGGTCAAGGGTGTGTGATTACTAAATTAGCGCACTTGATTGTTTGGCATAGTTCTGGGAGTGGGTGTAACCTGGTGTGTATCCTGGGCAGAATACAAGAGGAAGACAGAGGGCTGTGGTGGTTCTTTGTCATATACTGCTTGCAGGTTATTTGTCAGTTTGATGCCTCTGCCTTCCATGAATAGTTTCTCCTCTGCGATGCCCCTCTGCCACACCACCCTGCCTTGGAGTCAGCTGATTATGGACTGAAACCTCGAGAGACTGTGAGCTCAATGAACTTTTCACCTTTAACTATAGGTGTAGGATATTTTGTCTCAGTAATGAGGAAAAGTAACAAAAACAACGTTCAACATTTTCTACAGAACATTTGGGCCTTTCTTTGGAGTATGGAATTAATAAATGTATCCTATAGTTGATCTATAGAAACTATCATCCTAATATGTTCATTCATATACTATTCTCTTTTAATTTGTGACATTCACAAATGACCAGCGTACTACTGTCAGCTACTTTTTTTTTTTTTTATCATGGCTTGATACAAAAAAAGTAGGATTTTAATAATCTACAAAACCAAAAAATGCCATGATTTTAATGCTATAAGTAATTTCTTATGCAATCAAATTGAGCTTAAGTACTATGTTTTCCATTTAGAAATCCTGAAACTGTAGTCCAGAAAAGTAAGTAAACTGGCCAAAGTTATGGCCAGAATTATACACCTGTTGCTTAAAATTAAATCCATTACTGGAATGTCTACTTCACACTGCTCTGTTTGGCATAAACTTGATGTAAAGGGAGATTAATCCTTGAGTTTCTAATAACAGGGAAGACTGATCCCAAAGCAAGCTGTTGATAGGCCCTGCCTTTTGTCATTAAACACTGGGATCTGTCCATGCACTGGGATGTCACCTATGGAGTGTGTTGGAGGGGGACTTTGCTTAGATACTCCAATGCATAACTGAAGTGGGAGAGAACAAAATACAAATCAACTTCACTTTTTATTATATATTTAGACTGGTAGAAAGATTAAATTCTTTTGAGTTTGTTCCAAAAATAATATGGAAATAGGATTCTATGCTTCTAGTTTACTACAATATTGGCATATGATTGGTACATACACTGAATGCATTGCTAAATCTAAAATCTGCAAATATTTGATGTGGCAAAGTTTATCTAGACTTTTTTGCAACACACTTTTCTCCATGTCACTCAAATGGGTTCAGATACCGTGCTTTGATCTTCCTAGCAATGACTTCCAGTGTGGTTTCCTACGGAAGTTAATATTGTTCACAAGCAATGTTTATGTTATAGTCAAATGTGTTCTTTTAAAGTAGTACAAGTGAGTGAGAGGATGGATATGCTTCTTAGCAGGAATGTGGTAATGATTTTACAATGTAAATCTATCTCAAAACATGATGCCGTACACCTTAAATATATATAATTTGTCATTTATACTCAAAAAAGAGAATAAACATTAAGTGAAAAATGAGAAAAAAATGATTTATTCTTTGGAACCTGAAGTCACTTTCATTATGTTTACTTTTGCTTGGGAAATCTCCAGTTTGGGATCTCTTAAAAAATTCAACTTCGTTAATATTTTCTGTATGAGTATTACCAGTATTTCTGCATTTTAAGATTGAAGAGAAGCTTAATTCGTTTATTAAAGCTTTTATCCATGTAATAACAATAATATGTGAAAATACAAAGATGCATCTTTGTCAGAGATATAGCTCAGTGGTGTAAGTGCCTACCTGGCAAGCGTAAGGTCCTAAGTTCGATTCCCAGTATCAAAAAAAAGAAAAGAGAAAGAAGAAATGCACATTCTATAAAGGTTTGTTTTTAATTCTAAAAACAGTACATTTTCATACTTTTTAAAACACCAACCTGTGACTTTAATGTTAACTATTATTTAAAAGAGCACTAGAATTAGAGATAAGAGATGTGTCTCTAAAGTTTGAGTTCTGGAAACAGTTTGGTTTTAGAAAAATATCGCAAATTCTGTGAATTTCAGTTATCTTGTCTTATGAAAAAGATCTTGCGTTAGTTGAACTCATCCATTTCTACAATTTTATGATACATGTAAGAAAAATTCCTAGTTTGATACTTAGTCTTTTAGTCTCTCTTCATTCTTATGTGGTATTCTAAGAAACATTTATCAAAATTTGAGTTTTGCTTTCAAAAAGGACCAGAACATCTACCAGTGCATAGCTTTAGAGAACAGAATGTTCTCTGACCTTACCTCATAGGACTCAAATGTCTTTTTAAGTTGTTTAGCTGGAAAAAATGGAGTAGTCAGAAAGTGACTAGCACAAAAGTCAGGGACACAATTTGCGCCTGTGTTGTTTCTCTTTGCCTTGCTCTGCTAATGTGTTCAATCGCATCTTTTATTTATTTTTACAAGGAGTATTGCTCATTCCTGAATGATGTGTTCTCAGCATTTGGTACTTTGCCTTTTGACTGACATTTAAGTGAGAGCAAATGATTATTGCAGGTATTTCTAACAACTGTCATTTTTTGACATAGAATTGTATTCTATATTTTACTAGAGGTGCGTGTGTGTGTGTGTGTGTGTGTGTCTGTATGGGTGTGTGTGGTGTTTGTGGATGTCAACACCAATGATGTGGGTGGAAAAGACACAGTGTCATGTCAGATTGCATTAGCAAATTTTATACTTGGTAAGTGTTATAAAGAATGCAATCTCAAGTAGGCAAACCCATGAAATGATAAGGAAATGAGCTATTCTTTGGTAATGTCCTTAGTTATGAATCTAAAGTGGAAGTTCTTTTAAATCTTTGCAACCCTAAAACCAATTTATATAATTACCAGTAGAAATAAAAAAGATTCTGCAGCATACATGGCTTTTTTTGAGGTCACAGTTGCTAGTGGCAGCAGATCTCTGAATCTGTCTGAAACAAAAGTAGCTGTATTCCCCTTGATTCTGGAAACAGCCAGTTGGTTGGGGTTGAGTGAATTATGGAAAGTCCTTTCCATATTTTTATTCAATAACTGTAGCACTTAGATATTTAAAAATTAATAGAAATATATACTTAGAGACTAATTTCCATTGAAACTGTTTTCCAGAATCACTGATCTGTATTTCCTTTATCTTTTAACATTTATGTGTTGCATTTCTTTCAAATAGTTGTCAATTACTGATCTGAAAATTTGGTTATTTTTCCTTCTGTGATAGGAATTATAGAAGTGAAGAAAATAGTATCAGAAATATAGCTCTCACCATCATCAGCTTATCAGACAAGGATGATTTAAGTAAGCTTTAGTAAACATAATAATAATGAAGGTGTTGACACTGAGGCTAATAATAAAGGTCTAATTACTCTTATATAAGTACCCAATTTTCTCACTCCTTTCATCAGACTGGAGGAGTCTCAAGAATAGAGTTTATGAATTTCATTTTTGACTCAGTGGTTGGAATATTGCCTTCTAATATCTGACATCTAAGACATGTATTAGACGCTGAGTAGATATGTTCATTGCTCATTAATTAAATGTTCCTAGAGATGTTTTTGCATATAGCTTCCCAGAGGGATGATTATGCTACTCTATATAATGAATGTAATGACAAGGATGGGCAGTGTGAAGCTTCCCATATTGACATTAACTATCAAAGTGAGGTGATGAAATAGTTTTCAGTTCATATTTTTGTACTCTTCTTCTTAGCAATTAGCAAATGTTACTTATCTGCCGTGGTGGTGAATTTTATGCATCATTTGGGCCAGGCTATCGTATTCATGGACTCAGTAATTGGCCAAACACCAGTCTAGATGTTGCTGAAAAGGTAAATTTTAGAAATGATTAATATTTAAGTCAGTAGATTCTGAGCAAAGTAGAGTATCCCCTGTAACTGAGTCTCGTCCAGTCAGCACTTTCAGTGAAAAAAGAACAAAGGCCCCTAAGGACAAAGAATTTCAGCCTCCAGACTGTCTTCACATTCCAATGCACTTGCAATACCCACTGTTCATGGCACTTGGAACTGTTTGCTCTACTGATTAAGGTTTGCTAGCCCTGAACCTTAAATCAATTTCTTAAAATTGTCTCTTTACTGTCTGTCTATATCTATCTATCTATCTATCTATCATCTACTATCTATCTATCTATCTATCATCTACCATCTGTCTATCTTTCATCTGTCTATCTATCTATTTATTATCTATCATCTATCTACCACCTATCTTTCATCTATTTATCTACCATCTATCTATCATCTATCTACCATCTATCTATCTTCTATCAATCAATCAATCAATCTATCTGTCTATCTACTAGCATCTATCTATATCTGCTTATACATATACTAAGGATTCTGTATTTTCTCTGAAGAATCCTACTATATTTATTACATATGTATCTACCTATCATCCATCTATATATATCTATATATATCTTTTTTAGTTATACCAAGGATTCTGTCTTTTCTTTTGAGTACCCTATTATATTTGCTGTTTTTTTCCTTTTCCTTTTCTTTCTCTTTTCCAGTACTGCGGATTGAATGCAGGGCCTCCACATTAGGTTGAATCCACAGCCCTTCTGTTGTTTTATCTCTTATTATTTTATTTTGAGACAGGATCTCGCCAAGTTGCTAAGATGCCCAGATTGGAGTCAACTCACAACCCTCCTGACTCAGCCACCAGAGTGGCTGAGAGTGGCACCACCATGCCAGTCTTACATCTGCCTCTGAGGTATTTTCAATCCACTTTATGCCCGGTCCCTCTTTTACTCTTCATTTGAGACAGGAGTGATAACTCTTTGTAGTCCTGTCTATTTCTGCCTTGAAAATTCAACAGTCGAGGGAGAAAAAGAACTTTTTTGTT